GTAGAGGTAAATTCAGGGTTATTCCTCCATTACATGGCAAGTTAAAGGCCAGCTGGGGCTAACAAAAGACCATGCCTCAAAAAAAAAAAAAAAAAAAAAAAGAAAGAAAGAAAGAAAATCAAAGGGGTACAATAGTTGTTCATCCTGATTTGGAGGGGAAAAAACCCCTTATGCCCACATTAGTCTCCATGCTAAAATAACGCGGAAACAAATCATACGCATTTTTTAAATTTACCTCAACTTAAAATGTAGTCATCTAGCTACTTTGTTTCATCTACTTCAAAAGCATAAAACATGTATGTTAAGCATACACACATGTGCACACAAGCATAAACACCTCACATAATTCAAAAGCATATACACATGTACACATATGTATACACAAGCATTCACATGTCATCTAATTCAAGTAAAAACATGCATAAAAAGTAGGTTAAAAATAAGGACTGGGGAGATGGCTCACCAGGTAACATCTAATCCCAGCACTCCTACTAGAAGACCAGAGAACTGACGAGACATTAACAGACCAGTGCACAGGGCAGTGGCAGAAACAAGAGACCCTTCAGAATGAACAAAGATGGGAAGTACTCCTAAAAGCTATGGCTTGTATGCCATGGAGAAAGGCACATGCATTAAGAACGGTATATATATATATATATATATATATATATATATATATATATATATATACATACACACACACACATACACACATATATATGGTATATATATGGTATATATATGGTATATATATATGGTATATATAGGTATGTACATTCTCTCACAATTAAATAAAAACAAGTATCAGTTCTAAGTACTATGTTGCCTGTTTTGAGCATCCAAAATGTCCCAATGAAAAACACTGTTACTATATTTTAAATAGAAAACTCACAATTTCTCATTTAACACTAAAAATTAAATAAAGAGCAACAAGGCTAAAGATTCCATGAGCTAAGAGACAGAACACTTGCACAGTATGCAGGGGACACTGGATAGAGGAAAGAAAAGAGAAATCAAAACAGTGCTAAAAGCAGTTTAAGACATCTTTTTGTTACTGTTCAAGGTTTTCCCCCCCTCTCTTTGCTTTTTATTTGTTTGTTTTGGTTTTTGATTTTTGAGGACAGGGTTTCTCTGTGCAGCCCTGGCTGTCCTGGAACTTAAATCCACCTGCATCTGGCTCTGAATGCTGGAATTAAAGGTGTGTGACATCACTGCCCAGCTCAGATACCAACTTTCTGAAGGCAATTATACTCAACAACTTCAGCTCTAGCCATCTATCAAGTTAAAGTTCTGACACTCAAAGACACAGCCTCTACAACATTGTTCTAAGACAAGGTAGACCAGATTAAACTAATCTCAACACACTTTTTAAAACAAAGACACCACATAACAAGCTGGGCATGGTGAGTCTAAGCTTAGAATCCTAACATTGTGGAGACTGAGGCAGAAGAATGGTCATGAGCTTGAAGCCCTGCTATACTAAAGAGAAACTATCTTGGGGGATAAGGATGCAGCACCTAAGCCGAGAGTTGCACAAAACCGTCAGACTGTCCAAAATATATATGGCCCCCAATTCCTATACAGAAATACAACTGTCGGGAACATCATGTACTCCAGGGCTATTCCAGAGTGAGGCATGCTTGACATATACCCCACTCACTTTTAACTATTTCTTTTGATTTTCCACATTCTAAAATCTGACCTTTCTCATAGGAGAAATATATAAACAAGATAAGACTGTTCACTGGAGCCCTATATGCAACATCACAGAAAAGACTGGAAACCATTTAAGTATCATTAGTGAAAGACTGTCTAGTTACAGTAAATGCTTAGGAAATAACATGCACACACCTTTAATTCCAGCACTTGGAAGGCAGAGG